ACGAGCTCAGGCCTGAGGAAGAGGGGGTCGTTTATCTATCGTAGCAGCGTTTGTCCTCGGGGACACATCACAGTATGTAGTCTGAGCTTCTGTACGTTGGTCCTTGCAGATATCATGAGCGTATTTGTATGTGTCTACTTTAAGCAGTTTGTGTCCATTCTATCAGCGTGTATGACTGAGAATGAGGTAAGCAGGCTGTTTGGTGGAAAGAAACGGTCCAACAGTAAAGAAAACACAAGAATACTTGACCACCAACACAGAGATGGGCTGTTACAGTTTAATATTTCAGCTATGTTGTGTGGATGGATGAGAATTTTAAAAATCGTTTATATAAACGTCTTTATAGACTCTTAATAACAGCTTTAAGGGTCAGATTTGAATGTTAAACACTTACAAAATGTTGTACCATAATTATGGATTTGCAATATAATGCTGGATGTTTCTGACATCACATCAAATAACACCTTTACTAGATGTTAGTAGATTGGACACCAATCAACAGAGCATCTTGCATTGTCAAGAAAACACCTTCTCTGTGAAATGCAGGTTGAGTCAAAAGACCCAGGACACCATTTTATTTTAGGAAGTAAATGGAAAATGATCAGAATACCAAGAAGTAATGGGTGAACCTGTCTCGAACCTTCCATATTGGATCAAGGGCAAGTTTGTTCAAGATAAGCCTCCTATCACCCCTAATCGGCCCAATTTACAGTCAATCACAGTGTAACATGACACTTTTCTTTAAGCTTCAAATAACTAATTATAACTAAACATTTGGAATATATGCACACATGGACTTAAAAATTGCACTGCAACCAGCCACTAGAGGGTGCTCGTGAATTGTGGCTTCAACTTCCAGCTTCAGTTTCTCTTTCTAGTGATAGTATAGCTCAGTGGACAAGACCGACACAGTCAGCAGCCTCTCAGCTCAGTTTGTGTTCTGCACACAAACATTCCCGTAGTAACATGTGCATTATTCGTTTCTAAAAACTTTAATAAACTAAACAAACTGTAGCATGCAAAACTTTAAAGTTTTCATGTTTGCTAAAAAACAAATCCAAAAATAAAGGGGCCATATTTTTGCTAGCCATTAGCCTAGCTTGGATGAAAACTTTTGCCCTCTTTTACATTCTCCATGTTCTAGTATGTCGCTAAGATATTAACTACTGATAACAGATAAAACGTTGCTTCAGAAATGACCAGACTTCACCTTTAAGGTCATTGTCTTGGTTTATTTATCATCCTTGGGAAATATGTCATTGCAAATCAATACAGAGTTGTTCTCAGTGATCACCGCCATACTCTGACGAACCATTTCTACTCAGATGAGAGCGGAGTTTTCTAAGATGATTGTGCTGCCGTCTTTAGGGCACAAAGGGTCATTGATCGGATCGATGAGTACGAAAATGATGTCAGCCACTTGCTTTGGCCAGATTATAGATCTTAGCTGCACACCTATGGGAGACTTTTGGAACCAAGGTGTAAGTCAGCATTCTTCACCACCATCAATGAAAGAATGTCAATGAAAAAAACGAAATGGTGTTCCATCTCTCCAACACACTTTTAAACACAATCAATGCCAAAACACACTGAGGCTGCTCGAGTGCTGGAGCATCTTATTACAAAACTCCTGGAATAATTATCTATCTTTTATTCTCTCTATCTTTTGCTAATGTTTGATTGTTAACATTTTTTTCCTCTAATTTTGTTAGTAAAATGTAAACGTAAAGGATTTTGGTGTTTTACTGTCATTTATATCTTCAGATATTTTTGTATGTTGAACCAAAAAACGAAAAAGTGCAAGCATGGTCAAATTAAAGGCCTGGCATTCCTTGAAGTAACACATAGCACCCGCCCTCTTCAAGCTAGAGTTTCAGATTAACATTATCTTCGGTTGACACTTGATAAAGTTGTGGTTTAGGTCAAACCTTGAAAAACAAATGTTATGCACAATCTTATGTAATATATTACAAGATGTCACACTCAGACTGTGTTTTTCATGACTCTCAGCTCACATCAAATGTTAGCTTGACATCTGTTGAATTGACAGAGTTGTGACCCTTTTTGTGTTGCTCAGTATTGATCAGCTGTGGCAGTTTTTTAAACTGTATTGACTCTAAAATTGAATCACTTGTACAGATATTTCTAAAGATGATCTCCTAAATGTTTCATTAAAACCTGCCCTATTTTTCATTTTCCATTTTGCAAACAGACAAACTGAGTTGACTCCAGTAAACAATGGCAGGATTTTAAGCAATGACCTTGTGCAAACAGTATTACTTACAAAATACAATATGTTGTGAAAGGCTCTCAACTACAACTACAGTCTTTTTTGGCAAAACATTTGTAAGATTTACAAAATTATAATAATTTTAGTATTATCTAAGGACATCTGGCTGTAGTGGCCATACATTGGATCAGCTACAAAAAGTAATCACTTGTAGAGATACATCCAGCGAATAATAAGAAAAAATCATTAAAATCAGTCAAGTGGTTTATGAGATATTTTGCTAACAGACAGGCAGAGTTGACTTCAAATAGTTTTTGGCCAGTTTTTTGCACGTTAGCCCTCACAATATATGTTTGGGTTATGTCTCAGCTACACCTACACAAAAATTACAGATCAATATCTGTAAAACTGAGTAAGCTATAGTCAATTTTGTGCTTTTTTCAATCAGTTAGGCCGAGGCAGCCAAGTTGAATCAGGTTGACTTCAAAAGTTAATCAGTTGTGGATGCATATCCAATGAATATTTCCTGAATGTTTCATTAAAATATGTCCAGTAGTTCTTGAGCTTTGTTGGAAATAAACACATGTGTGAATACACAACTACTCAGAAACAAAGAAAAACATTATTACCCAACTTAGTTTTTTGGAAGCTGAGTTAGGTGGTCATAAATGTAATTGAAAAGGAAAAAAATTGAACATATTTTCCCTAAGTGACAGCAGCTGAAGTGTTGATCAATTCAATGCAAACACACACAAATCTTTTCTATTTTTACAAGGACTTTACATTGACTTCCATTCATTTTCCATTTATTTATATAGCCTAACCCTGACCTGTACTCTAATATGGGAGTAATAGCCTATATGCCACGGTCATTAATGACGTATTTCCGGTAAAATTCTTGCCACGCTCCTCCCTTCCACTCCCTGCTTACTGCCTATGTTTTTAGTGTTAGCTGCTAGTACTAGTCTGTGAAAAAGTCACAAAAGTTGAAGCATCTGTGAGCTACTGGTATAAAACGTGAGTTCTGTTGTGTCCACTAACCAGCAGATACGATCGAGTAGTTAGTTTTTCTCCATTTTCCTCTTGATGATGTCAGCAGTGGATCATAGCAGGGAAAACTTATCTTTAAAAGCTCACGCTTGCGTTTGTAATCGGCATTTCTAACCTGAGGATATTCAAGAGTCAGCATCAGAAATGAGAAGACGGAGGTTACAAAAGGGAAATGTACATTTATCCCCTCTACTGTCAAGACGAGAGAGGAAAGACCTCCTCCAGAGGACAGCTAGCAGGAAGCTAACACAGCAGCCGGTACAAAGGTAGGTGTGTGTGCGTGCACGTTTGTGTTAAACAGAATATGAAACGTTTTTATGCGACTTTGTCATGAGTTTTATGCAAAAGTAAAAACTTGTTAGAGTGTATATTACAGCGTAGACTAAAGCTGAGTGACGAGCGTGCCCCTCCCCTCCTTCCTCCGAGCACCGAGAGCAACAGAACCTCTGCCTGATAATCATAACGTTTTCAGTTCACTAACGTCGGGGGAAACGATCCAAACCATATAAGTAGCCCATCAATTTAAAGCCCAGACTCTGCTCTTTCCAACAATATAAGTGTCACAGCTCTACGTGAAAAATTCATGGAACAAGCAGCCAAGGAATAGTGAAAAAGGCTAATTTCTGGAACCATAAATACAAACATCTTTTCTTTGTTTTTATGTCTTTAATCCACGTTGGAGTGATTTTTTTCCACTTGGCTGGACCTGTACGTCTCCTGTGTTAATGTTGGTACATGTAATATGCTAATTCTGTACTGTGGAGATCATTAAGAGTCGTTGTCGGGTGAAAAAATCTTTCGCTAACACTGTGTTGACCGCGAACCGGAAGTGTTGGGAGTGGCATCAAGTGCTGGACTGGATGTCCGTGGCATATAGGCTATTGTTCCTTACTGTAACTCCACAAGCCCCTCTTTCTCCCTTGTCCTGAGGTGTCTCTGATCAACTCGTTTTGAGGCTGTTTCTTTAAATACAAACAACTATACAGCAGTGCAGAAACAACATCACCAAATTGTAGTTGATGAGTCCAGACCCTGTTTTGTTGCAAATATTGTGATGTAATAG